GGCAGCCTCGCCTCTGTCAGTGCGCCCCAGGGCAGCTGTGGCTACAATGTAGCTTGCCGTCACCAGTGTGTGAATGTGTGTGTAAATGGGTGGATGACTGAATGTAGTGTAAAGCTCTTTGGGGTCCTTAGGGACTGAGTAAAGCGCTATACAAATGCAGGCCATTTACCATTTACCATATATACTTCTAAACACAAATCAAATCAAATCACTTTTATTGTCACATCACATGTGCAGGTACACTGGTACAGTACATGCGAGTGAAATTCTTGTGTGCGAGCTTCACTTCACAAGTGATTACATGCAGTATTCTACAATATGCAAACTAACTATCATTAAAAGATTATACTGACTACTAAGAACAATTTTCCATTGACAATAACTCATAAAAAGTTATTATAATATCCATTACAATACCTTCACTTTTCTCAATCACATCTGTAATGCAGAAAACTGTGAGAAGAGTACGCAAAGTGAAACACTGAAAAGACACAATACACACATGGCTTACTTTTTGTGATTCAAATATCGACATGGTTTAACATGTCATATTTTGTAGTTTAGCTGAGGTTGTAGTTAGATCATTTTAAGATCTGATAAAGACTGGATTATTTCCATTATGTCTTGACAAGTAAAACCTTTGAACTAAAAGAGGGTGCACTTTCTTTTTCACATGACTGTGAGTGGCAATATGTTGGCTGTCTCACCTTCATCATTTGTTAAAGATATTTATATTTACCGTACTTTCCAGACCAGTTGGTGTGATGTGCATAACTCCTGAGAGTGAATTTACACTGAAACAACAGAATCTCATAACCAGTGCATTGTTGCTCACTGTCTTCTTGAGGTGTAACTGAGCAACTGATTACACTGTTATCAACTTTATTTCTTTATAATGTCAGTGTTGATCCTCAGCAGCACCTTGAATCAGTTCATCGGCTCACTTCAATGTTAAAAAAAAAATGACTGCTAACGTTATGGTGATGTTTGCTCCATTTTCAGAAGTCATTGTTCAGTTTAGTAACAGATTTGGAGCAGCAATAAAACAAGAAATGGAGGACAAAACCACTGTAGCACTTGATGAAGGGTAAGGGGAAAAAATGAAACATGCATTTCAAATATGCACAAATATTTTGAATTTAAGAAAGTTTAAAAAATATATGATATGATATGATTATAATTGCCAATTTTGTGCTCTTTGTTCTCTCCTTCAGAGAGAGGAATAACCAACTGTATGAGCCATGCACTCCCAGCCCAGAACAGAGTAAAACTGATGCAGATACTGATAGCAATGCGGAGAGAGCACCCGAAGACCTGGCTGGAAAAGTGTGTTATGAGCTTGAACCTCTTGTTGTTTCATGATAACATGTATGAAAACATAACCTCAGTAATGTGGTTTTAGTAAATATAAAGAGGTAAAAAGCAGAACTTTAGTGAAATATTTGCAAAAAGTTTCATTTCTCTTTTGACATCTAAACCACATCCATAGTGATGTTGCAATGACCTACTCTGAATCATAATTTTCAACGCAACAGCAAAATGACTGCCAAACTATTTCAGATCAGCAAAGTAAACACTTTCATTCTGTGTGAAGTTGCTCTTTAGGACTGTTTAAGGATTGTCAGTTTTTTAAATTCTTTTGTCAACAAATAGACTTCATTTCATTAAACCTGAGCTGTTTCCAATCTTTTAAGAGAACTTTAAATGATTTGTTTAAAATAACATGTATGCTTATCCTGTCAGAGTATTCCTCTTTTGTGCAAAAGTCTTTCTCACGTGTTTTTATTTGGTAATTTTTGTCTTAACTGAGTGATTCTCACACTTCAAGGTTCAAGGACCTTTACAAAGATGCCTATTATGAATATCATGTTTGACTTTAACACTGACTATATTTCATGATGAGTTGCTTTTTCTTTCTTAATTTTTTCTGGTATAACAATAAATATGTACTTCATATACAACATGGGTCATTTGCACATCATAATTTAATTATCATAATCACAGATTACATATATATATACTTTATAGAGGTCATTCAAGTATCAAAGAGTATCAAAACTGACTATCATCATTAGTATCATTAGTCGATACTGGAAAAATATATAACTTACATATTTCATTTAATATAAATTTTTAACTTGTACATAACTTTTTTTTTTTTTAAATTATCATCGTAATATTAAAATATCTCAGTAGACCTTTGGTCAAAATACATTTGTAGATTAAATAAGCTACATAAAGTTCAATATATTTAGATTAACAAAATTAAAAGTGCCAAATGCACATCTTGATGCACAGTAGCTTTGCACAATAACTGACCTCACAGCCCATCGTTCATTCAGTGAGCTGGTTTCAGTCATTGTGCAAATGGCAGTTAGCAGTCAGCTGAGACTGAAGAAGTCACTTGGATAAGTGATGAAACGTTTCATCACTTGGATAATGCCTCAGTCTTTACTGGGATTTACTTACCTGGATGATTGAGCATGCATCAAGACATTTTGGATTTTAGTTTTTAAAGAACATTTTTTTTTATTGTGCAATTTTTTAATGGTGTTTATTCCTGTTTTCCTTCTCTGGGAATAAACCTTTTCTGATTGGACCTGCTGAGTCTGTGCCCTGGGTTCTGATTCACTTGCTCCCCCTTGTATTAAACTATACTGCCAAAAGTATTCAGTCACCTGTCCAAATCATTGAATTCAGGTGTTTCAAACACTTCCATGGCCACAGGTGAATAAAATCAAGCACCTAGGCTTGTACATTGCTTCTATAAAGATTTGTGAAAGAATGGGTGTGAATGAGCTTGGAGAATTCCAGCGTGGTACCGTGATAGGATGCCACCTGTGCAACAAGTGCAACAAGGAATTTCCTCACTACTAAATATTCCAGTCAACTGCTAGTGGTATTATAACAAAGTGGAAGTGCTTACAGCAATTAAATTAGCCCATATAAAATAAGAGAGTGGGGTCAGTGGATGCTGAAGTGCACAGAGGTCCCCATCTTCCTGCAGAGTCAATCACTACAGACCTCCAAACTTCATGTGGCCTTGAGAACATTGTGTAGAAAGTCCCATGGAGTGGGTTTCCATGGTCAAGCTGCACCCAAGCTATACATCACCAAGTGAAAAGCAAAGCATTGGTTGCAGTGGTTTATTTATTTATTTATTTATTAACCTTTATTTAACCAGGAAGATCCCCTTGAGATTAAAAACCTCTTTTTCAAGGGAGACCTGGCCAAGATAGGCAGCAACAAGTGTCTCACAGTTACAGAAATTACTCAATCAAACACAGGCAGCAACAACACACATGCAACAATAAGTGAAAGAATACAAATAAAATAAAATAAAATTCAATAAAATTCAGTAAAATTCATTTTAAAGTTTAAAGCATGTAACCACTGAACTCTAGAGTGGTGGAGACGTGTTCTCTGGAGGGACACTTCTCCATCTGGCAAACCAATGGACAAGTCTGTGTTTGACATTTCCCAGCAGAATGGTACTTGTCAAATTGTGCCGAGTGTAAGTTTTGTTGAGTGGGGTTGTTGGTCGAGTCGGTTTGCTCCTTAGTTCCAGTGAAAGGAACTCCTAATGCTTCAGCAAACCAAGACATTTTTGGACAGTTTCATCCTCCCAACTTTGAGGAAATAGTTTGTGGATGGCCTCTTCCTGTTCCAACATGACTGCACACCAGTGCACAAAGCAAGGTCCGTAAAGACATGGATGAGTAAGTATATGAAGTCAAAGGCTTCATATGTGTGTATAGTTTTCTAGTTGATTAACAATTGTTTTGGGTAAACTCACAAGTGTCCTAGTGACAACCAAGGTGAGCGTGCATACAGGGCTAAATGAAATCCTGGCAACTTTTTGTCTGTTATTTAGTGCTTTTACTTTACAAGCCAAAATTTGTCTGTAACACAACTTACGCAGTTGTGTAAAAAGTACAATAGTTACCTGTGAACTTTGATGAAATGAAAGTGCCTAAGGAAATGTAGCAATGTGGTTATCTATCAATCTATGTGTGTGTATACATGTTTCGACATCTTTATGAAGACGGGAAATTGGCTTGCCACTATACCTTTAGGGGGACAAAATGCCTGTCCCCACAAGTTTGAAGGCATTTTTGAGGCTCAAAATGTAGTTTTAGTGTCAGGGTTACAATTAGTTTATTGTTAGGTTTAGGCTAAGAGTTAGGGTAACACATTCATTCTTGATGGTTAGGGTTAGGGTAACTGGCTAGGGAAAGCATTATGTTAAATAGATGTCCTCACTAAGATATGAAATAGAGTGTGTGTGTTTGTGTACTTGACTGGTTTCACAACTAAAGCAGACATGCCACAACTCGAAGTGCACTCAGTCCTGTAGGTGTGTCCTTGCAGACAGGTAAGAGTTGTCCAAACCTGTTTACTTTGTGTGCGGTTGCACCAGCAGTGCCTGCATATCTAGCACAGGATCACTCTGTGACTTGCCACTTCTCGCTGCGCTTCTGTCATTCCCACTCTGTCATTCAGTGTTTTTCTGTATTGGACTATTCCTGTTAATATAGCAGAAATGCCAGTCAAAGTGTTTTTTACAAGTGTGAGTGGTTCTACACAGGTACAGTACACAATCTTACTTGCCTTGTTCTTTTATTTCTAGCCAGTGATTAATATATATCACTGATACTATGAAAATATTGTGAGATGTGTGTAAAGTATTTACTTTTATAGACAATCTTACTGCTCTCTATGCGCAACTCAACAACTTTTATTATAAAAGAAAACTTTTTATAACAAGTCACACAGCTATTAGTCTTGATAACGGATTAAATATGCCTTTTCAGATTAAGAAGAACCAAGAGAGAGTCTTTTCTATCTTAAACGCCAAGAAGATCCTCTTTCAATCTGTGGACATTTCTCAGAGTTCTGATGATAAGGATTTAATGAGGCAGGGAGCAGGAGATCCGACCGCGCTCCCTCCACAAATATTCAATGGAGACGTCTACTGTGGAGTAAGTCTCATAGAATAACTTGTGAATAATAATAAGCTGAACCTGCGATTCAAAACTTAAAATTATGATCAGGTGTGTTTTATTTACACGCTTGCTGATGGCGTCACACAAGAAAAGAATAGAAAACCATGTGGTTAGTCTAAGGCATGGACACAGTTTTAAAATCAATATTTACACTGTATGCAAACTACTGGTTGTTCACACAGTTAAGCCAGGGGACAGAAATACATGGAGAAATGCATACATACCAATACTTTGACTTGTACACGCCCTATTCATTCAAGCACTCATCAGATTTCAGCCTTCCAGTTAAACTTTGTGAGACAAACTATTTGCTTGCAGAGTATTCCTTTCATCCTTCCAACTTACAAATGGTATATATACAGTTATATCAGAAGACTGAAATATAGGAGGAAAGAACCCGATTGGCAGCTTTTGATACAGACATTTATGTACCCACAAGTAATGAAGCATGTTAACGTTTCGCCATAGCAAACTTTAGTTTGTGTAATACTTTAGTTAAGGACCAAATATCTCCAAAACATTGAAACCTTTTAACTGCACTATAGACTGTGTTCAATTTACTTTTTATAACAGATACAGACTACAAGCATGCAAACAAAGAATATTGCCAAAAATACCTGAAGACCCAACCCATCAAAAATAGCCAGAAAATTATGATTTTTTTGGAACTGAGATGTTTATTAACCCATATAACAAAGGCAATTTTTTTCCTATGTCATGTTGTGTATGATATATTTTTTTATTATATATTTATTATATATCTTCTGTATCACATTCGATACATTGGCAACTTTTTGTTAACAACAATGTTACTTTTAGCTAAAAAAAAAGAGTTTTGTCCATAATATTTTGAAATTATGGCAAGTATTGTTTGTGTTGATGAGATAGAGGTCTCAGACACTCATGAATCTAATATAATACCAAAGGCATTATAGGGTTAAAACTCAAAAAATGCTGTGGTACAAAGACAACATCAGAAAAAGGTGTGAAACAGCCCAGATAGTCTTTCCCAAAGATATTAATTATTTGACAGCAGTAAACCAATCAGCCACAGCAGAAGCTGTTTTAAGATTTCAACTTTTTCCTGCCACAAAGCATCTTAATATTGTTTGTTTTTCTCATTCTCTTAAATCTGCCATTTTTTCCTTTTTTATTATCCAGAGCAAGAACAAATTCAACTGAAAGAATTGGGCTATAAAGGAATGCAAAGAAAGATAAAACAAGAAACCCTTATTGGATTAAAAAAATGTGTACCCAACAGTAGGGTGCTGTTTTGTTTGTTCATGTGCAGTTGAGTTGTGTTTTTAATGGTTTGTGTCTCTTTGTGGGTTGTGAACATGAACATATGCTTACCCCAGTAAGCATAACTGTAGCTAATGGTGATCTCAGTTATCTGAATGTCTGGCTTGTTGCGTTGTATGTCATATTGGACAAATGTACAGTACACAGTGCACTATTTTTAAATAGGTTAATAATGCCTTTGTACTAATAGTGTTTTCACTCTGTTTCTCTGAATCCATCATGCATGTCTTCTCTTTTACAGGACATCAGTGCATTTGACAATGCAATAGAGATGG